CTCGTTTCAACGTTTATAAAATGTAATATAATTAAATCAATTGTATTTTAAAGGAGACAATTCCTTTTTGTATGTAGAACGGGCCCACCACAAATCGTGGCGTAACTTAATGAAATGCATGTTGATTTATTGCTTATAGTCTCTAAATTACAATAGTAATATTAGTTTTACCGCATCTAACCGGAATACAGAGAAATTAACAATTGAATATGAATATCACAATAACCTTAAAACAAACTCAAAGCGTTTGTCTAGTAGTTTTTATCTGTATTATAAGTGAAAATAGTGTACTGATGAGAGATTAATATCTCTGAATAAATAACCAGTGCACTATTAAAATAGAAAACCATAGTGCACAGATAAAGAAACGTGGTGTGGAAACTATTTTTTACATTAATTGATTCTTTAGTGACTTTCTTGTAATAGTACTCATGTAGTATTTTATTATATTATTTCACGAATGCGGTTAGATTTTTATGAAATCTTAAGGCCGTTTACTATAATAAATTGGTTTCTTTTTTTATGTATTACCATTAACTTCCGTTAAAATTTCTAGTGAGCTCAAAAACGATTGCCCCCTTCCAAAATGCAGTGATACCTATTGAAAGTCATAAGGTTATTCTGGCATTTTCTATGGATGGTCGCTTATATTTAACTACCGTCACCGTTACCGCTACAGCTTATCAAAGTTCACTGCTGTACATAGGCCTCCCCTATAGATTAATTCACAGGGGCGCCATTCATATTTGCCATAGTTGCCTATCATTTTTTTCTTCTGTTTAATAAAAAATAAGAATATAAATTTCTTTGCAACCTTCCGCTAAATAAATACAGTGATGTGTCTTACCTGGATTGAAGAGCACCTCCCGCCCTCCCTCAATTGCATGCACTAACTCCGTCACCGCTAGTCCCAGCACCACTACTCCCAACACCACTATTCCAGGTAAGACACAGCATCGACGATAATACGACACGTGTTTCGCCTCTACACGAGGCATCTTCAGGTAATGTAGACTCTACGGCGGCTGACCGCTAAGAAGGGTAAGACACATCATTGTATTTATTGTATTTATTTAGCGGAAGGTTGCAAAGAAATTTATATTCTTATTTTTTATTATAATGGATTTCCGCAAAGTAACGCCTGATTCTATCAATTATTTCTTCTGCTTTCTAATAGCTCTTCCTCTCCATCCAATTTAAATTACGGACAAAACAAGAAAAGCATGAATGAAAATTAAAAAATGTCTTAATTCGTTACTAAGTAGCTGTCTTACCACCTGATTTCTACACAAGATATCAACTTCAAGTGTTGCTCTTTAAAACACGTTCCGAGTGCATATTGTCAGTTTTTTTACAAGCCACTTTAACCACCCAATAATCTATAAGTTGTTACTTGAAAAAGCTTTCTCGCCATTGTAACCGGCACCATATGAGGATCGAGTTGAAAGGCGTCACACATGTGGAGGTCTTGACATATTTTAACGCGAAAAATGCGCTTTTGAACTCAAATATCTTAGTGAAAGACGCCGTTGCAAATGAAGGTTCTGAAACAAAAATATTTTCATTGTTACTTAATGAAAAGTAAAATATCCACTAACTCATATTGTTCTTTGCGTGTCGTAAGAGGCGACACAGCGAGATAAGTCCGAAGATGGCCAGCTGCGTCTTTCTAATATTTTTTTTATAGAATGATGACACACAAACGAGCACACAGTCCACCCGATGGTAAGTGGATGCTGTTGACATCTACATTTATCCTCAATTAATAATTAAAATACAGATTCGTGGTCACCCCTATATCCTATCAGAACGCAAGGATTAATATGTCTCGAGGATGGAATGCCTCGTTTCCAGTAAAAAGGGTATCCGTTTCTCTACGCTTATACGTAACATAGCAGCGTTAAGCTGCAAATTTACGCCGGTATACTGTAAAATCGGTGGTCCTTCCCCGGTAGAACCGACATACTTCTGCTACAACCGTAATATATCTGCAACATGACTCTACCACGTCTAAAAGCGATGGTGTAAACAAGATGATTATACCGCCATTTATCGGGAGCCATAAGATATTTCCATAATCGTCTTTTACAACACCCATATGACAAAGTATATGATAATGGATCCTGTTACGCATCTACCACACAGCACTTTTGGGACTATTGTTTACAACTTATGCGGTTTAGAAAATAAACTTTATTCTTAGCACGGACTCACTACCATATAGTTGTTCAACGTTCCAAACTAACGGATATGACTCGTTCAAATACTGTCCGCTGAGGAGGGAGTATGTTTATTTTACTAGCATCACACAAAGATTAAAGACAGCGGGGGCGCTGATTGCCTCATGAAATTATATTTAAAACATCAACTAAATCATAGCGAGCTATTTACACTTGTTTAAAAATATTTTTTTCTAAATTTAAAGTGATATTAAGCTTACAGTTCACCCCATGCTAAATGGCTACTGCAGCATATGGATAATTGAAACCAATTTCAAGCAAATAAGGCTATAGATACGTTGTGAATTTTGAGGACAGAATACCAGCGCAAAATAGCAGCTTAATGCTGCTGTGTTTCATATGACGAGTGTAAAGAACCGGATACCCTTTTTAAAACGGCTTCATGGGGGGGAATCTTAATCGAGGTTAAATGTGGATAGAGTAGAACAAATGGTTATGAGGCACTCTATTACCTACTGTGGATTTGATAGGCGGCAATGAATATGCTAATGATGTATTATGAAAATATCTACTTGTATAATAATTTCATTTCATTTATTAACGTGCACAACAGTAAAAGTCTATTAAATTTAAACTTAGTCAATAAAAGATCCGAATGGCCGAAAAGAATTGCACAATAGGAGTGACGTGTCGAAATTTCTAAAACATTATCGATTATTCGTTACAGTCATTCACTAATCCCTTTCAATGTCTTAATATGGCATGCTTCTTTTTACAGTCGTCAGAAACGCATGTGCAATGGAGAGGGGAATGGAGATAGAACGTTTCCCCTTCGTCTATGTATGGTCAGGAACGCAGTCTCCGAATCGAATGAATATTTACGAGGAAGCCCTTGTCGAGTCGCGCCCCCCGTGCCATCGCAGCTCTGTTCAACATTGAAATGTCAAACGATGCGGTGGCACATATTAACGCCCGGATTCAATGCCGTTCGCCCCTGCTTTAGGGATGTGCACGTTTGTTGTGTGGCGCAAGTTACAATCGATAACATGTTAGATATTGGAAACAAAATGTGACGAAAATTTACGTTTTTAATAGGCATATTTAAATGACTACATCCTGCTCTTTTATAGTCTGTGTTTAAAGACATTACTTTTTTTTAAAGAATTAAGAGTGACAAACAAGCACGCAGTCCAACCAATGGATTATGTGATCCATATACATTTACATATACCTCAGTTAAGTATATAAAAATTGCAGATGCATTGTCAGCCTTGAGTACTAAGATGGAATGCCTCGATTCCAGTAAAAAGGGTCTTCGGGTCTCTACATTCACAAAATGAAACGAAACACAGCAGCATTAAGCTGCTATTCCCTCTTCTTTTTTTTTGTCCTTCCACGGTCCAGCCGACCCATTCATGCTGTAACCATAATATAGCTGCAGTGAAACTCTTCCACGTATATAAACATAATTTATTTATTTGAAATTGGTATAGATTGAAAATTATATAAACATGAAGGACCTGCATCGATGACGGACAAAACTACGCGGTACTAACAGTAGTAAAATATTTCTTAAAAGTTTTGCTCTATTTACTTTTGGTACTTTCGTGTTATCTGAAAAATAATTATTTACGTATGAATTCAAAACACGTAAGTGTTAGTCCACTATCTGATTTATTTTATACATAGTAATACATGACATGTTATTTTAAGCGTAAGATAAATGTAAACACGAGCTTCCAACGTCGCGTGTTCGAAGAACTGATAGCTCCAGAATGACAGTACAACGTCTTCACACTGCCTGTTGGAAGGTTATCGCAATAGGTTCGAATAGAATCGCGTAATTGGCATAATCTTGACACGCGCTTGTATGCTGATAGAATGTGTCGTTGATGCCTTTTTGCATTGTGCCGAGAGCTTTAGCGGTAATATGGTTTAATTATTAAATAACTTTCATACGTAAATTAAACAGTACGCGAGCAACCGGGATTAAATTATTATACTTTATTTCCGCCGGCGCCAATGTTGTTAATGGGAAGTGCTTGAAGGGTTAGGAAAACATCGATCTTAGAAATGAAATATTTCGAGGACATGTGAAGCTATAGTTATCAGGAAGATGCTGCTGCCCATCTCCTGTTTCAACTTCCACCTGTCGCCTCTTACAAAACCCACGGGATACGGCAGTGGATATTCTTACACCACTATTACGCATCTGGAGCAGTGCGGCAGACTAATTGCACCCTCTCAGAAATAAGAGGAAGCTTGTGCCCAACTATATATATGTCAGCAGTATGACATTAATGCGACAGCAGTCTAAGGTTCCTCAACGATCGTGGGTTCGAATTTGCCATTCGACTATCACCGTAAAGAAGTCTCGACACAAATATTTTAAGCTAAGCTGAAGTTGACGGATGTATTTAAACACTTAATTTAAAAAAAATGTAAAGTTTGAGCTCAATCAACAATCTCGTTCTCGAACATCGATCAAAAAGTTTTATTTAACTCGGTTAATAACATCTTAGCAAATTAAATAAATTATTGATTTAATTTGCTAAAATGTATTATTATATTGTAAGTAGTGTAGTGTATTGTAAGATTGATTATCAATTAATATGTTATGCGAATGTATTGTAGCATTGAAATGTTCATTTTGGGCAAACCTCGAATCAATCTCTGATGATATTTGCATACAAATCGTTTTATATATTAAGTTCATTTAGGTAACAAAAGACTAAATTAAAATAATTTTAATACAAATTTAAACATTTACTGAATGGAATTTTACACAATATAATTAATTTTTTTAATTTTGAAAAAAAAATGGTTTACAGGTTGTATCAGTGTCAAATCAAACGGTCTGTTTTAATTAAAAAGCCAGGTATATTTTTCAAACGTTATCCATATTTAAAGAAAATTAAAGAGTTCCAACAACACAACAGAAATATTTTTTGTGTAGATGAAACGTGTGTTGACAATAATTTAACTTTCAAAAAGTGTTGGCAAATGACTGGATCAAAATAAAATACACTCATGGTAGTCAGTGCAGGAGGCAAAAACACATTTCTACCGGGGACTTCTTTGATATTTAAGGCCGGTACTACTACTGGCGACTATGATGAACAAATGAATGGCGAGAATTTTGAGAAATGGGTAGTAGAAAAGCTTTTGATTTTATACACCTACATCTAACCTCAATTAAGAATCAATATGTTGATGTGTTTTCTCCCCCGAGGGTTACTATAACCTCGTTACCAGTTAATAGGGATTCGAGTTCTCTAAACTCACCATACTAACCCAACAGCAATAAGCTGATTTTTCACGCTGGTATTCTGTGAGCGAGAGGTTTTTGATCGATTTCTAGCGTGGTTCTACCACGTTAAATTTATTATTTTTTTCTTGCCTTAAAAATTGTAATATCCGCCTTTTCTCATGTCTCGCACTATAACATTTATTTAATTTTGATTCACTATTTTCTAACGTAAATTGTAGTGAACTCTATTACCTTGTAAAGAAAGTTTATATTACACCATTCGCTTTTTGTACGTATGAAACACTAATCTAGTTTATCCCGGCTTTTGTAAAAGGCGGCGAACCAATTGGTTTGTAAAGGAAAGAAATTTTTATAAAAAAGTTTAGAATAATAGAGAAGGGGATTTATTTTTTTAAATTTTTTAAGATGATTTAATATAATTAATATTAAATAATTAATATAATGGGTCCGATTTACAGAAATCCAAGTTGTAATGTATTTCCACGTTTTGAGGTTTCTAGAATTTGATTCCACTGTTTATGAAGGGTGTTTATTTTATTTAATAAACCGACTTGACAAACGAACTTCAACCACCGATTCAGATAAAGAAGTCTTCAGATGCGTTTTCACGTGTGATGATGGGATGCCTCAAAGTTTATAATTACAATCGCTCTCTATACCCTCTAGAGCGAAACACAGCAGTACAATCACTGTTATTTAGCAGCAGAAATAGGTAATACCTCTCCAGGCGTACTCCTTACGGACTCCTCTCTTAGCAGGAGTCCTACTATCTAGAAACATTTGTATCAGCATGTGTATACGTTTAACGTTGACTGCCTCGTTGGTCTAATGGTTGTAGTAGTGCGACTGCTGATCATAAGGTCCTGGTTTCGAATCCCAGGTCGGGCCAAAAAATCAATTATTGAATTTTTCCGTCAATTAATTCTCAGTAGCTGATCGGAGTCAGGAAGTCGGCGGTGTCTCACCCCCGTGCCTCGGAAAGTACGTAAAGTTGTTGGTCATGCGCCTGATCTCTTTATGGTCGTGTCGGGTTGCTGTCGCATCAGAATATGAGAGTGAGTGAATAGAGAGTGCACCTGTGCTTGCGCATACTTTCTTGTACTATAATCCTGCCCGGCGCAGATGGCTAGTCTCCGTTGAGGCTGGCTGCCGTGACCGATATTCGTTCTGAGGGACATTATTATATGTTAAACGTAAATGCGTACTGTATATTAGTAATTCTATTGTGTCTATCTAGAGTATATCTAGAAAATAAAATGATGATGATATCGAATTCAATATATTATATATAAGTAATAATTTAATAAATTTTCGTCGATATTGAGTATTATACAGCCGATGAAATGTTTATTAGAATCGATTATGTGTTTTTTTTTAACAATTCGGTTTTTCAATTAGTTACTAAACTGGAACATGGGGTGCTAGCACACCCAATCAAAGCATCACTTTTATAAATATAATTTCAATAACCTGTCGTTGATTCTTGGTTGTAAAACGCAAATTATTAATGGTCTACGTGATCTGGATAGGCTTCCCCCATAGTTTCCCGCACAGGGGGATTTGTGCCATAGTTTGGCAGGGGGTTGGCAACTGTAGTTTTTATTATTCTTTATCTGGATGTATAAAAAATTTGCAAAAATTAACTGTAACATCGGGTGGGCCCGTATGTTATCGTTAGTCCACTTTGACCCATATCACCTATACACCTAATTCTATCCTCGATTAAGATTCAAAATGTAGATACTTTGCTGCTGCTGAAACAAAGAAGGAATGCCTCGTTGTCAGTAAAATGTCCACATACACAATAAAAAAGTCAACATAGTAGTAGACAATTTCTCTTCCAAACTCAGTTCATATCGCATAGACGTCGATATGAACTGAGAAATCCGTCCAAATCGAGCCAAAGTTTTTTTTAAAGAATAAGGGTGACAAACGAGCACGCAGTCCATCTGATGGTAAATGGATGCTGTGGCCCATATACATCTATATTTAATTCGATTAAGAATCAAAACGCGGATGCGTTGTCACCCCTGAGGACTAACTAAGATGGCATGTCTCGTTTCCAGTAAAAACGGGTCTCCGGATCTCTACACACACCATACGAAACAGCAGTATTAAGCTGCTATTTTAGGCTAGTATTCTGTGAGAGCGTGGTCGTTCCCCGGTCGAGTCGACCCATTCGTGCCCGTATAAAACATTTATTCGCTTTAAATAACTGTCTACTCATAATATATAAACTTACTGAAGTAGATGCTCGTCTAGGATAGGGTCCGGGCTGAATTTGTCAGGGATCGACCTTCAGCGAATCGATGGGGCCCCAAATAAGTTTAAACATCCGTCTAGGCCCGCGGCGTTATTGCATTACGCTGGGACTTGGGGTCCGGAGTCGCTCGATAGAATTGAATCGGAGCTGACTGAAGTTACGCGAGCGTAGTATATATTTTCACTTCATTTCACTTATAACTTCCTGGTAATAAATACGAGTAATTACGTGTTTATTTACGAAATCGAAGCGACAAACAATCTCACTGTCCATCCGTTAGTAAGAAGCTACTGCAGTCATTGTTCATACCAGCAACACGCTTCAAAACATGAACGCTTTAGATGAGTTTTCACCATTGAAGACCAAAAAATAAAATACTCTTCAGTCCGTAACAAAGCAGTTCAAGCGCTGCTGTTTGGTGTCAGAATTGGAAAAGAGTATAGATTAGACGATAGATAGAGAGCGTAGATGTAGAGTGCTATTGAATCTAGATGGACTTCTGATAAAAAATGAGTCCATCACCTCGTAAAAGCAACAGCTAGTAAAACAACGTTCAACATTCTCCTGTTTTAAGGTGAAAGCGCCAGGCTAGCCCGCGAAATTCAAATTTTCTTACGTTTTTTTGCAATTTGCAGGTCAGTGTCAGGGTGTGTGGCGGCGCTGTCGTCGCGCCACAAGCGAAATACACCGAAGCCTAAATCACGCTATCAACATTCCGAATCATAAACAGTATATATAGAACATCTCCGAACTATCACACGGAGTGTTGGCCGCTCCCCGGGCAAGGTTCTGCCCGGGGAGCGGCTAACACTCCGTGTGATAGTTCGGAGATGTTCTATATATACTGTTTATGATTCGGAATGTTGATAGCGTGATTTAGGCTTCGGTGTATTTCGCTTGTGGCGCGACGACAGCGCCGCCACGTTACCCCCTGCTCAGACCGGAGGTCGATAGTGCAGTCGAGTTGTCGACGAATGTGCACTGCCAGGAGATTGCCTTGTAGTCTGCGGTGAGTCGAGAAGAAGGCAAGTAATCTGCGAGAGTGCCGTGAAGCAGAGGCGAGCAGTAAGGCTCAGAGCCGTGCCGAACACTGTATAGCGCAGAGAGTAGCTTGAAGGAACAGGAAGCATTATTATTCCAGTGCTGCGATGAACCTTGTGAAGCTAGATGGCTTGCAGGATATGAAAACTGCAGACGATATCTGTTCGGGAGCGAATGGGTGGGGTATTCTATGACGTTGATGAAGCTTGAAGTTTCCGAAGGTTGTTTGGTTGCGTGTTCAAATCACGTCGGGGTCACCACTGTGGCCGTGAAAGGAAAAGGGGAGATCTCCCGCCGGGCAAGGTGTTCTGCCCGGGGAGCGGCCAACACTCCGTGTGATAGTTCGGAGATGTTCTATATATACTGTTTATGATTCGGAATGTTGATAGCGTGATTTAGGCTTCGGTGTATTTCGCTTGTGGCGCGACGACAGCGCCGCCACAGGGTGTATGTTGAAAAAATATGATTCGCGTAGTAATATATTTACAGAATTATAATCATTATAATCCTCAACACAACCCTCTAAGTTCGTATAATTCCATTGTATGGCCATTTCTAGAAAAATTCATTCAAAGGAGTTATATGAACTTAGAGGGTTTATTGGAATTAATACAATAATTCTGTAACACGAATCATATTTTCTTAAACGTACAATCTCACACTGACCTGAAAATTGTAAAAAAACGTAAGAAAATTTAATTTCGCGGGCTAGCATGGCGCTTTCACCATAATACGCTCTTATTAGCTTCGTTTGTAATCTACCTATGTAACGGAATATCTTTTAATGTAATTTTACCAACTCGTAGACGACCGAATGACTAGAAAATTTGCACTTGTATCAAGAACCAATAACAATACAATAATTTAATAACTTTATCCTAGTAACGTGATGAGGATCACCTGGATAATAATAATTTAATTTTTATTTTATGACTAAAACCGAGTTATTCTCTCCAGAATCATCATACAGCTCATGATCAATGCGTGGTTTTTAAGTTTTCTTAAATTTTAATATTATTTATACAAATAGTCAACTTTTTAAAATTTATAATGTTGATGAAAGTTATATTATAAATAAATTTTAAGTATATAAATAAACACCTTGAGAAGAGAATTCGCCATACCATCTTTTGTCGTAGTGGTCGAAAGAGATATACCCGACAAATCGCGTAAATACCAGTAATACTACATTGCGGCAGTCTTGAACGGGGTAGTAAGACCCATACTCTCACGAAATGCCAGCGTGAAATAGCGCCATGGTACTGCTGTGGTTTGTATTTGCTAAATGTTGAGATCTGCAAACCCTTTTTACTCGTGAGAAGGTTTTCCCTCTTAGTTTTTAGAGATGACAACGTATATTTTGCACACAAAATCCACTTAAAACCATGTGGACTGTACATTCATTTATCATACTTCTACACAAGTGGTGAAATTAAAAATTTTGTACAACCGACTTCAATGCGACCGAATCAGTGTATTCGAAGTCAATTAAATACGCATTATTAAAGATAAATAAAAAACGGTGGTCAGTGCTTGATTAAATGTGTATGGAACCACGACAATCACCAACTTTTAGATAAAAAAGGAATCGTTAAAATAGGTTTACCCAGAGAAGAGTTATGGGGTGACACATATAAAAAACATACAGTCGAAGATTTTTGAAGTTGGTAAAAAAGACACATATTTTAAAACTTACCTTCTCAAAATTTATATACATTTTAGTACGTACCTATATAACGTACGTATACAATGTAGTATGTGTATTTGATACATATGGAATGTTATTTATAAAAAAATTACGCGACCCGAAAAACAATTCTTTAACAAAGTGTGGGAACAATGTTATAAAATTATATTTATGTTCTGATTCATTTATACTTCTTTAACTTTACTACAGTGCGATTTTTTGTTTATCTCTACCTAGCAAGGTCTGCTGCAATATGTACTATTATTGTGCATAAAAGTTTCAATAAATAAATACGATGGAGTGACGACATCTCGTCCAGTAGTAGTTGTTTGTTGACTTTTGTTACGACAAAGCTCTTGTTAATTGCAAAGGTGATAACATTATTATTGTTTTTAATTACAGACGCGGGAGGCCTGTGCCTAAACAAAGGGTGTTGTGGCCCACGGGCTAGCACCGCCCTCACGGAGAGGGCGCACCAGCAGCTGACCGACGCGTTACGCAGTGAGCTCGGCAAGTTGGCCGACATCCTCACAGTCAGAGCTAAGAAGTTTGATGGTGAGTTATGCTACATATTGTAATATAAAACACAAGCTTTAACACCCTAATTCATCCTCAGGGGTTAAATTTTTCAAAAGCCTTTTTAGTGTGTGTTAACGTCGAGAAAGGATTATACTATATGTCAAAGTACAAGTCGATCCGGCGTGTAGTTTTGGAGCAATCGTGACGCATGAGTCAGTGGTAATTCGCTTACAATACATAGAATATAGATAAAGATGTTGACACATTGCAAATGTGGGTCGAAGTGTTTGTCAAGCAGCGTGGAAAACATTTTGGATTATGTGGCAGACCGCATGATCGTGTAGTCGACATCAGCAGTTTAAAATTACAGTTTTCTACAACTTTAGCTACCATTAATAAATAAATTATTATTTATTAAGGGTAGTTAAAATACTGTTACATTTAACAGTCTCCCTGTCCGCGAAATAGACACAATAGCACAGAATAAATAATAATAGTACTGCTATATTATGGTTGTAGCACGAATGGGGCGGCTCGACCGGGGAAGGACCACGCTTTCACAGAATACCAGCGTGAAATAGTAGCTTAATGATGCTGTGTTTCGTATGGTGAGTGTAGAGAACCGGAGACCCTTTTTAGTGGAAACGAGGCATTCCATCTTAGTCCTCACAGGTGACAACGCATCTGCTTTTTGATTCGTAATCGAGGATAGATGTAGATGTCTATGGGCATAGCAACCACTTACCGTCAGGTGGACTGTGTGCTCGTTTGTCATCCTATCTTATATATATAAAAAAATTACTATCTAACTAAAAATCTATTTTCATACAGTTTATGTAGAAATGTTTGTTTGGACAATTACTGTTAGAAAGTATTTCAATTGACAAGTGTCAAATACAGAATTCGACACCCTTTGGAAACCTGGGCACCGTAATAAAAACTCTAATTGATGCTCTTTTTCACTTTAATTTACAGAATACTAGCTTGCCAGGCAGACGTTGTTCTGCCCTTTTCGACGACCCTTTGTCATGTCCTATTAAAAATTCTTAAATTCGCAAAAAAAAAGTGGGTCACTCATGGGCAAGAAAACTATCCTATCTCTCAGGTTGGACCAAACTACCCATGGTGTGCAAATTTGATTAAAATCGGTTAAGTAGCTTAGGAGTCCATCGCGGACAAACAACGTGACACGTAATTTATATATATTAAGATGAGTGACATACGAGCACACAGTCCACCTGATGGTACGTGGCTGTTGTGGTCCATAGACATCTATGTTTATCCTCAATTAAGAATCAAAATTCAGATGCGTTGCCACTCCTGAGGACTAAGACGGAATGCCTCGTTTCCAGTAAAAATGGTCTCCGGTTCTCTACACTTACCATACGCAACACAGCAGCATTTAACTGCTATTTCACGCTGGTATTTCGTGAGAACTGGATCTTTACCCGGTCGAACCGACCCGATCGTGCTACAACCATAATATAGCTGCAATGTGGCCCTACCACGTATATAACTTACCGAACGCGAACCTTTCTGTTATATAACTGCACAGGCTTTTGTTTTGTTTATTACGTTTTAATTATCTGTTTTTTTTTTTAATATAATTGAACTGACAAACTTACAGTCCACCTGATGGAAAGTGGCTACTGCAGTCCACGGACTCCTGCAGCCAACTTCATCAAAGAAGGTTACAGATGGGTCGTCACCTCTCGGGACTAATGGAATGCTTCACAGTCTGTTATTATACTGGATCTTTTTATCCTTTAAATACATCCATAGAATACTATAATACACAATAGAATGGCTATCAAACTTATTTTGTACGAGGTTCCGCGTCGTCGGGAGCACACATACAAGCAATTACGTCGTATTATCACTACTACAAATCTGATTCGCTGTTTTGACAGACTGAGTAAATATACACATTTTAGACTTTTGATTAATGTTCAAAATCATCATTAAAAAAAATCGTTTATTTAATACCCTAACCTTTAAACGAGCAATTCTTATATATATATATATATAATCGGAATCGCGGAAACGGCTCCAACGATTTTCATAAAATAAAGTGTCCAGGGAGTTTCGGGGGCAATAATTTTTAGAAAGTGTCTTTTTCTCCATGTTTTCAGGCAATGAAAAACTGCTACAATATAAGAAGGTAAATTTTGACACTGTATTAATGATCGTAATTGCTCAAGTGGATATCCAGCGGTCGCGAATTCGGAATACCTTGGTTCGCGTCCCGCTCGGTCTTTTTTCCTTTTTTCGTTTTTTAAGTTCTTTTGTGAGAAAATCTATTATTTCGAGCCCTTTTTTTAGTATTTTTTTAAAAATACGAAAATTTTAATTAAACTAATTGCACTCATGATTTTTTATTCAAATAACCGGTTCAGTTTTTTTCTATTATGTCAACAAGATCAAAAAATATTATTCATGTAATTTGTATCTAAATGTAATTAAAAAAACCGAGCAAAGCTCGTTCATCCAGGTACTATTTATACGTAGTGTGCAATTTGGTATTTTCTAAATGATTTGCACGCGAAATTTGGAACCGATTATCACGAACGTCAAAACACATCTCGTGTTGACATTTATACGTGTGAATTGACATGTTAGTGGCTACACGGGCTCCGCCCACACTCCCGTTCTATTATGTATGTATTATAGTATTCTATGAATACAACACAGTCAATGCAAGTAGTTCTGTTTAGTAGCGGAAATAAGTAAAAGGTTTGTACGTACCCAGACAGACTCATAGGCAGAAAAATACGTGACAGAGCCACGTTGCAGCTATTGTAATTGTAGCACGAATGGGTCGTATCGACCGGGGAACCACGCTCTCACAATGCCAGCGTAAAATATCGAGTGAGTGAGTGTCAAGAACCGGAGAACATTTTTACTGGAAACGAGGCATTCCATCTTAGTCCTCACGGATGACAACGTATCGGCATTTTCATTTTTGACCGAGGATAAATGTAGATGTCTGTGGGCCATCATCCACTTACCATTAGGAGGGCTGTGTGTTCGCTTATCACACTTGTGCCCAAATATTCAAACTTTAAGTCAAAGCGACTGTGTAACCACGAGACTTAACAACATATGAAAATTGAGTAGTGTTTAACTATTTAGGCATTATTCTATAAAAAAAAAGAAAAACAAGTTCTATCATCTAGAATACGATACGTACTATACGATACCCAGTACGACTTGATTCCACTATCCGTGGCCCCGTACGCAATTATCGCTCTGTAATTGTCAAATACTAATGTTTGTTATGTTAAATAAACATCATGTTACAAAACACAAGCATTTATTAGAAATCTATGTATGTATCCCTGAGCACTTAGTACGAGCTTTGTTAATAGGTCGTCTGCAGCGAGCATTAGCAGAGTAACCAAGTGGCCGGCTAGATATAAATGGCGGCGTACTGTCGAGCCCGTGGTCGAGCTATCATCTGCGAAATGTGTACTTTAGTATTTCCAGACATCCCTACTCCAAGTTTTCACTTGAATCGAGTTCGATAAAGGTTATTTTATTGGTTGCAATATTTTACTGTTGCAAATGTTGTTCATATCCACCTGTTACTTTAGTGCTGATGGATGAAAATCACGATTTTTATAAGTATTCACACGTGGCAACCTCTAGGTAGGCATCTCTGTAGCTATATTATGGTTGTAGCACGAATGGGACGCCTCGACCGGGGAAGGACCAGGCTCACACAGAGTACCAGTGTGAATAGCTGATTAATGCTGCCGTGTGTTGTATGATGGTGAGCTTAGAGAACTGAAACCCTTTTTACTGGAAATGAGACATTTCTATCTTAGTTCTTACGGGTGACAACGCATTAGAATTTATATTCTCAAACGAAGATAAATGTAGATGTCTGTGGGCCACAGCATCCACTTACCATCAGGGGGACTGTGTGCTCGTTTGTCATCCTTATTCTATAAAAATATCTTATAATTAACACAGTTTTAAAAGATTATTGAAGGGACCGTTAATCACGAAACAAGGAATTCCAGAATTTCGGGCAAAGTGTATTCGAACTTATTCATTTCGGTAAAATTTATGCATTATCCCCTACTATATAGTACCAAAAAAGTATAAAATAAATCTGGGTATACATAATTACGCCTTTGTCCATCCATTCTTAGATAAATACGTGAAAGTAGACAATATTGAAATATTTAATATATTAATAAAAATATATAAAAACTAAGATGTTGAATTTTCTACTCTTATTAATTATAGATATAACTATAAAATGGGTATAGTCATTTTATAAAGGGACAAGTAACTTTTTTTTACCATTTTCTTTCCTCACTGTGGAACTTAATGAAATACAGCGTCATTAATTACTTTCACTCGGCCGAAGCCCATTAATTGTGAAGAGCGCAATCACATAAAATTGATCTTTTTCCATAATATAGTGAAGATTTATGTTACTTGATAGAATTATAGCAAGTAACTTAAACTTATAAAAAATTAGCTGTTCCCGTTCGTCCGCATGTAATATATTACGATTTGATTTTTCATAGGTTTTAATTTTTTTGTGCGGAACCCTAATTATTTTTCTAAAATAAAAGTAGCCAGGTACTCCTTATAACGTCAGCTATCTGCCAGTGAAAGCCCTGTCAAAAACCCTTCAGCCGTTTACAAACGTCTTAGAAATTATTTCTTGTTATAAGTACCGTATATACTTTCATATGCATTTAGTAAATATTTGTACATATATAAACTTTAAATATAGGCGGCACGATATCAGCGAGTATGTGTCGGATACAATTATCACAAACAAAGGAGCGTGTCGAACTGTTGAATTAATTTATCGCAAAGAACGCCCGTTAGGGAATGTCTCGTTATCCTTCGAATCATGTCTTTTTATTAGGCGCGTGATGTAGCCCGTGACGTGCGCTGCACGCAACGAATTTTTCTTTGTTTTTTCTTTTGAGTTTATTAAACGGAAACAAAAGAGTAAGTTACGAGATGGCAGATATCGTCACTGTCGCACTTTCCATACTTAGTTGCACTAC